TGCCAAGTTGTGCTTGTGATAGCTCGGTAGTTTTAGACATTCTTAAAGTTCGACGCACTTACTTTTGTAATATTTCCATACCTACCATACCCCGCCTAACAGAGGTCGCAAATCTTGCGAAAAGAAAATAAGGGGAAGTGTGGTGTTAAACTGAAATTTTAGGATATTTTGCATTTTTTTTGTTAAAAACAAAAAAATATACGAATTTGCTTAAGCAAGTGTGAAAGAGCGTTTCAAAAGCATAAAAACGCGCAATAACACTTTGCAAAACTTAAATCGAAAGTATGAAAAAATCGAAAGCAAAAAAATTCGAAAAGTAAAGAAATTTTAAAAAACCGAAACTTTTGAACGGAAAGAAATGAGTTAATAGAAAAAAACGCGTTCCAAATGTCCGATATCCGGGCTTTCTCATGCAAAAATCGCTAGGTTCGTAGCTCCATTATCTTCGGAGGAGATAGAACTTGAATATCGAAAAGCACGTTTGGGCCAATTTTTGAAAGTTTGAAAATTTTTTATTCGAAACGGGTGCCCTGAACAGAAAAAACTCTTTCTTGGTAAATTATATTTTTCATCGAGATGTATAAAATGCGCTATGCAAAATTTGTCCAAGGGAGTCAAATCGCACGATCTTGGTGGCCATGGCACATTTCCTCTGCGCGAAATCACGCGATCACCGAAGAAGGAGTGCAATCGATGGATATTGACGTTGGTTGTCTGGCATGTTGCACCGTATTGTTGGAAATAAACATCGTCCATATCCATTCCTTCAAGCTGCGGCAAAAAATAGTCCTCTATCATCACGTGATATCGCTCAGAATTGACGGTAACGGCGTCCCCGGCCGCATTTTCGAAAAAGTAAGGTCCGATGATGCCTTTTGACCACAATGCACACCACACAGTCACTTTTTGAGGATGCATCGGCTGCTCTTGATACCCACGGGGATTTTCGTTCGCCCAGATGCGGCAGTTTTGCTTGTTTAGCGTCCCATTCAAAGTGAAATACGCTTCGTCGCTGAACATGATTTTTGATGAAAAATGGCATCAATTTGGCGGTGTTCAAGGAGCCAATCTGAGAACGTTCGGCGCGAAAAATGGTCGGCCCGACGCAGCGCTTGCGTCAATTATATCTTGTAGGCGTGTATATTCAAATCCTTGTGGAGAATGCGGAGCAAACTGGTTCTCGAAATGCCCAATTCTTGGGATCGACGCGTTGTTGATTGTTTCGGATCGTCTCTCACACTCTCCTTCACAACAGCAATATTTTCCGGTGTGCGAACACTCCTTGGCCGGCCAGAGCCTGGCAGGTTTGCCACAGAACCTGTTGCGTCGAATTTACGCACCAGACGACCGATGGTTGTTTCGTTTGGGCGGTTGTTGCGACCGAAATGTTCACGAAGCGCGCGAAACGTGTTTTTTATTTTTGCACCATTTTTGTAGTGCTCTTGAATAACTTTAATGCGGTCTTCAATCGAATACGACTCCATAGCGATCAATGGTAAATATTCAACTAACAAAATGACATGTCGGTGACAGAAAACAAAGATGGCGTCTATGTCAAATTGACGTTTACTTTCCTGCGTCCCTATTGGACAACCCTTTAAATCGGCTTTTTTTAGGGGACGAGCATAATGCTACTCTGCCACTTGACCGCAAAAAAACCGAACACAGAAGACAAAAACGTAAAGTTACTAGTAAATTAAAAATGTAGGTGTATTCAAATTTAAGTGAAGGATATCCAGTATTTCAGGTTAAATTAAAATGTTTGTGTGAGGTAACAGATACATTTTAGCAACTCATTTCTGTATTTCTATTCAAAATAAATTTCTTAATATTTCTTAAATTCGATATATGATAGTATTTTCGTGGCTTGAGGTACGGCGGCGGACAAAATGTGTGAATTGTTGTGAGTTACAGAAAGCTTAGAGACAATGACATTGTTTGATCGACATGTTCGACCCAGAATTCTCATTTTCAGCAGCCGTTATTAATACCTAGCATACATAGTAATCCATAAATTTTGCAGATCGGAGACGAAGGAAACAATATGGATAAAAGAGGAAAAGGATTCGTATGATTATGAGCAGTGTGATACTCAATTCGAGGAAAATCTAGCCTTAGATAAGCACATGTTAAGCGATGGACTGATGTCCTCGATGAATATGTCATTTGTGTGCGACTTTTGCACCAAGACTTTTGGATCTAAGACTGCTCTGGACATGCATAGGAAAAAACATATGAAAGAACATGTTGCCAGGTGTGAGGTACAGTGCTGCTTCAGAGTCATATGTTTTAGATATTATATGTATAACCTTTAAAATAAGAATATTTGAACCCCATCCAAATCCAAAATAGAATAATAATAAAGTGAAAAGATATCCAAATACCATTAGCATAAAGCATAAATAAACTTCAATCAGTAGAGATAATACCTATCATCATCACAGGAATGGGAAACATCAACAAAAACTTGGAGAAAAACATAATTAGACTAGATTTCGATGCAAAATACGTTATTGGGCAAACACAAAAATCGCTCGAAACTTGTTGCGTTCCTACATCTGCCAAATTGAAATCTTTAAAGCAGTGTTAACATACACACCCTGCCTCAAGAACCAGCGTTTCTCTCAGAAACACAAAAAAAATAATATTTAATCGCCAAAATACAAAATTGTTTAATAATAGGCAAATAAATATGAAAAATCGACAGAAGGCATTGCCTTTTTTCCAGGAGAAGACAGCGCCTGTCCTGATTTGGAGCTCTTCCATTCCCAATCTTCGTTCCTAATACTAGATAATTATGGTCCTTACAATCACACCAGTATAAAATGCTGCTCTAGCATTTCGAGCAACGAGTGGATGAACGAGAGAATTATTCGAGGCTTCCTCATCACATCCATTTAGTACTTTGGCTATTACTTCTCTCGACTGGCTGTGACTAACTCTACCTTTCTTCGATTCCATTATTGACACGAATAATTCAGTAACTTTCCAGCTACAAGTAACGCCCACTTGCCACCATGCCTCCAGTATCCACCAGTTAACCTGCTAACTGCTAACCTTCAGCCATCTGTCAAAAGGTCCATCTTACTCATTATTCCATGCCCACCATTTTGTGCAATCATCAAGTGGCTTCACGATGTAATGCTTAACTTTCGTTTTAAATATTTTTTAATCTGTTTTCAACTTGTTCTTATCATACAGCTGTGTGTGGTTTGTATAATTTTGTCCATTGTACCATTTATCCAGCTTTCACCATGTTACTGGGTGTTTCCCTCATCCTTAACGTAAACAACAATTAGCAACATCCTCACATACTACCGTAAGTTAATTTAAATTCATTTTACACTATTGTTGCTACTTCTATCAATGTAATTGCAGCTCCTGATGATGATGGCAAAGACCATTGAAAGCTAGAGAGAATAAGTATAAAGTATAAGTATAAAGACTCCTCCTTGCTTAAATTTTGTTGAAGTACCCAACAAAAGGCGGAAGCTTTAATTTATTTTAATTTTTCACCTATATATAATATATACAGGGTGACTTCGAAGTTGAGTCATTTATTTTAACAGTGAGTAGATCTGATCAAAGGAAATGTTTTTTTCCTTTACCATTTTTCTGGTAAAATTAAAGTAACAAAGTTATAGCCCTTTGGAAGTTTGAGTACCGCCCTGTCTCAATAATAATATTATGTGCTCGTGTTTGGCGACAACGGATATAATTCGCCTTATCGGTTCATCGCATCGGAAACAAAAAAGCGAAAGAATTTGGAACGATGTTTTTACAATTATTACATTCAGTTGTATACAGTCAGTGTCAGTCGGTAGTGGGTAGTGGTGTCTGTTGCGTGGCTCAAACGAAATAAAAAATGGCACATGTTTATGCGGATCGGTTTCCCAATCGAGTGCAACCAACCCCTCGTGCCTTTGTTAATGTAGTACAACGGGTTCGTGAATCATTTGACTTAAGACCTCACATATGGACGGCATGCCGGTGCTCCAAGACCTCACGATCAAGTACAGGTCCGCAGTGAAATACTTGTCGGGATGATACTTTATAAAACAAGGTAAATTTTTTTTTAACTTTTTTTTTTATTTTTACACACATATTTTGGTTTATCTTCCTTCTACAATCATTATCTGAAAATTAATGACTCAACTTCAAAGTCACCCTGTATAAAACTGAGCTGCCAGTCCGTCCGTTTCGTTTTCGATGCGCCACCCTGTGTATTTCTCGGGTGTAGATGATATTCCGTAAGACCGCTTGTTAGTTTTAAAGAAATAATGCAAGTGAACGTGTTTGTTCAGTCTATTTTTGATTTGGATGTGGCTTGAATAAACTTCGTTACAATATTTATGAGTATCAAAACATCTCTTTCAGATATGTAACAAGGGCTTTATATCCAAGCGAGGCTACAACGAACATATGTCTTCTAAACACGGTACCAACCTTTACACTTGTTACATTTGCGGCAAGAGCGTATCGAAAAAGACGGCTTTGCAAATGCACATACAAACCCACAACCCAAACTATCGCAAAAACAAGCAGTTCAAATGTTCACAGTGCGACAAAAGCTTTTTCCTGATGACACACCTTTCAAGTCACATCTCTCGAATGCACAAAGATGGCGGACTGAAGTTTACGTGTGACGTGTGCGGCAAGCAATTCAGCACAAAAAACAATCTCAAAGATCACAAGTACGTCCATGAAGGGATCAAGCCTATACAATGTCCACGATGCGATAGGTCCTTTACATACAGGGGTAGTCTGGAGATCCATATGCGCACCCATACTGGTGCCAGGCCTTTTGAGTGCAAAGAGTGTGGCAAGACGTACGCGCACAGATCGAACTTTGTCTGCCATATGCGATCCCATACCGGAGAGAAGCCGTATGTTTGCAACCAATGCGGCAGAGGATTTGTGGCCAAGTCGTATTTGGACAGCCACGTGAAGACACACACTAATCAAGAAACGTCCGGTGACAATCGACCGTACGTTTGCAAAGAATGTGGTAGAGGATTTTCCCACAAGTCAAGTTTAAAGACTCACATGCGAACGCACACTGGGGACAAGCCTTATGCTTGCACGGGTTGTGATAGGACGTTCTCCTATCAAACTTCCTTGATCGTGCATCTGCAGACTCACACCACTGAGAAGCCGTTTGTCTGCTCGGAATGTGGTAAGACGTTTGCACTGAAAGAGTACTTGACGATTCACATGCGCATCCATACCGGAGAGAAACCGCATAAGTGCAAGGTGTGCGACAAGGCATTCACGCAGTGGTCAGGTTTGAACATCCACATGCGGAAACACAGCGACGAAAGACCATTTCAATGCAAAGAATGTGGAAAGGCATACAAAGAGAAAAAAGGTTTGACGCATCACATGAAGCTTCATGCCGATCACGAGACTTACGATTGTAACGAGTGCGGTAAAGTGTTCTTGGAGAAAACGTATTTGGATTCACATATGCAGATCCACGTTACAGATAAATCTCTTTGATCGCACATATGAAAACCCTTTCTGAAGAGTGATGCTTTTTGCTTTTATAGTATAGGGTGATTTTTTAAGAGGTATAGGATTTGATTTTCAAAAAAACTCAAGAAATTTGAAAAAACGATTAAATTTTAATTTGAGTCGATAGAACGGTCGATATAATTTAATGTTTAAAGATTATTTCATGTAAATGTTGGCCGCGGCTCCGCTTTAGATGGCCCATGCGCAAGGTCCAATTTTGGCACACTCTCTCCGACATATCGGCCGGTATCTCACGAATAAATGCTTCAATATTGGCTTCCAGTGCGTCAATCGTTGCTGTAGACATTAGCCTTATCATGGCCCCACAAGAAATAGTCCAACGGCGTTAAATCACACGATCTAGGCGGCCAATTGACGGGCCCCAAACTTGAGATAAACTGTTCACCGAACTCGCCTCTCAATAGGGCCATTGTTTCGTGTGCGGTGTGGCATGTGGCACCGTCTTGTTGAAACCACATGTCAGCCAAGTCCAGCTCTTCCATTTTGGGCAAAAAAAAGTTTGTTATCATCGCACAGTAGCGCTCGCCATTCACAGTTACGTTCCGGCCATTGTCGTCTTTGAAAAAGTACGGCCTGATGATGCCGCCGGCCCATAATCCACACCAAACAGTGATTTTTTCGGGATGCATTGGTAGCTCTTGCAATGCTTCTGGCTGGCCTTCACTCCAGATGCGGCAATTTTGCTTGTTAACGTACTCATTCAACGAACGGCGACGAATCGACATTTCACGGTCATCACTAACACTGGCGGATACAGCCGCAATATTGTCTTCAGTCCTCACTCTACGTCTGCGTGTTGGTGGTTTAATGTCCAATAATGTAAACTGGGTTCGAAATTTAGTCACAAGCTTCCGAATAGCTCCCTCAGTAGGCCGACCAAATTGGTCATAAATTGAAAGCAGTGCGCGATGCACTCTCTTAACCGAGCATGAATTTTGATAGTAAAATTCAATAATTTGCAAGCGTTGTTCGTTCGTAAGTCGATTCATGGTTAAATTATAGACCAAACTGAACAAGTTTGACAATGACACCAGACACGATTCAAAAACAGTGTTGCCAAAAAGATACTAGCAAAAAAATCACCCATTATTTACCAGGCAGTAGGAAGAATGAAAAAATACGATTGGAGTAGACAGGACAGGAATTGGATTTTTTTGCATTTTTTTGATAACTATTATCACTCGGCCCATCTCCCGTTTTTGGCTTGATGTCGACTTCTGGGACACCATATAACGTAATAATTGAGGCGTACGTGACTTTGCCACACCAAGGATATTACACTCTCAAGGACTTGCATTGCCATTGACAGTTATATCACTAATGTATCGGACATATTGCCAGAGCAATTGTAGCTTCACCTCTTTTGTATCGTAATATTAAATATATGTAATTTTTGTTAATGGATGCATTGGTTTGTTTTTCATTTCCCTGCTGCAAAACACATATTATCGTTGATTCCGCCTTCGGTTATGTCAGAGGTGAGTTATTGCTGCCCTTTTAACAATAACCCGATTTTCGAATATTCCTGCTCCAAGAGGTCCACAAACGTATATTCTTTTATAACAGGTAAGTACCCTATTTCGCAGATATATTTTTTCTTCATGATTAATTAAGAAAGAAATACCCATCAAGCAAGAGATCATCTTTAGAGGACTCTTCACGAAAACAAGTAAAAATAAAAAACGTTGGAATGCTATCGTCGCCACTTGAAGTTAAAAAATAATGCGTATTGAAGATCGCCGCTCGAAGAACTTGATTTCAAGCCGCTGACAGTAGTGTCAATGGTTCTTTCAAGCCTGAAAATGCCTTTAACGCGTTTTATTGCTTTACTACAGTATATTCAGATAAGAGATAGACCGGATGTAAACAAAAGGTTCGGGTGATTTTCACGCTAACGCCGCGGGCTCGACGTAAAACAGGAGCCCTCATTGGTCAATTCGCAATTAAATGCCTATGCCGAGCGGCAGAGCAGTCGTATCAAGGCAGAGTCACATTCAGGTTCAGACGTGTTACGTATGTCGTGTGCATCATTGCAATTTGATATTTCTTTGGACGTTTTCGTTTGTTATCTTATTAAGTTGTTGAGTTTGTCGTTGTTATTGTTATACATTGTTATTGATTGTTATTGTTATCAACTGCTTGCGCAAAATGCCCAGTAGTACAGATACTGCCGATGAAGTTGTAAACTCCTGTAGTCCACCTAGGAAACGCTCTAAAAAAAGACACCTGAGTGCAGAAATGAAAGAGGTCATTTTGAATATTATTATTATAATAATATAAATATTTATAATTATTGACATTTTTGAACCCATTTTGGCAAAACCTATTCAAGAATCTACTTTCTGACAATGTTCAACCATGCACATTTTTTTACGTTTTGAACGTTTTAATTTGGTTACATATTTACCTAGAAATCAAAAAATATACTAATCAATATTCCAAAAGCAATTTTAAGAGATATACGATTATTTTTAATTTAGGCTAATTTAAACGCCATTTTGAGATTATATTCGACTGTATTTCACCAAACATCGGGCGGCATCCGAAGCTGGAAATCGAAGCGAAAATTTTGAAACCCTTATGTATATTTACATCATTATATATTTCTTACCCCACCCCCACATGATCCTATATCCATCACCAATCGAATTGTGCTAATTTACTACAAAGTTACGCAAAGCAGCATCTACTATCTAAAATATGTACTGCGTGACTCTTAATACGTCCCTGCCGAATGTTACAGCGTTCGATGATCACGTGGTCTTGTTTATGTCCGGTCTATCTCTCATCTGAATATACTGTAGTTGCTTCGTGGATATTGACGTAGTTACACAGTAGAGTAGAGTTACAAGCATATGGATGTAAGGTTTTTGATAAACTCAATGATGAAATTAGGAACGAATCAAATATATGTAAGCTTACGAAATATCTCAGACACATTTGTGTATGCGAGTCCAACCCTGTAGCACACAAAACCCTTCCAGAAGGTTCACAAGGCTGCTTAGTGTCACTCGACGCGACAGCCCTTACGCCTGTTTACATTATACATTCCATTCCTTCTCTGGGCACTTGTTCCCAGGATAAACTTTGTTAAAGATACGGGCGTGGATGGCGATGCAGTTCAATTATTGCGTGGAGGAGATCGCTTCTCAGACCAAGTAGTGCGCTTTGTGGACTTGATTACAGTGTTGATGTGCTATTTTGGGTGTAGTGTTTTGGTTTCCTGAAAGGTGAGCAATCACTGAGTGTTTCCTTTATTCTACTGTACTGCATGGATTGATAACCATAATACTTTTATATTTATGATCACGAATGTCTTAAGCCATGTTTATAAAGATGCTATACTTTTTACCTTCATAGACTTTAAGCAGTTCAACGAGGAAAGTTTTTTGCTAGAGCTTCAATCAAAGGAATTGGATACAATTTTCTACTTACAAAGCATTGAAGACAAAGTTGAATACTTAACTAAAGCAGTTATAGATGCGTATGATGAACACGCTCCAATCAGAACATTTAGAGTTAACAAAAAACCTGCTCCTTGGTTGAACAGCAACCTTAAACAACTACTAAAGGAAAAAGATGAAGCTTTGGCTTTTTTTAGAAAGAATCGAACGGAAAAAAATTTTGCTAAGTATAAACAGAAAAGAAATAAAGCTCTCTTAGAGATTCGCAAACAAAAAAAAGCGTACGTTGAATTGTTAACGGAGCAAGGTAATGCGAAAGAGTTGTGGAATGGACTCAAAAATATTGATATAAATTTTAGTAGTAAACCCTCCATACCGTCAAATTTTTGTGATCCCGATGCGATTAATGACTACTTTATGAGCGTGTACTGTGCTAATAATATTCCCGAAGATGTAATTCAATTTTATAATCGAAATAAGTTTCACCCAAACAATAACTTTTCTCTAAGAATTGCCGAACCGTTTGAAGTATTTCAGGCAATAAAAAGCTTAAAGTCGGATGCTAAGGGCCTCGATACCTTATCTTTAACCATGATTAAAGTCAGTTTGCCTATAACGTTTGCTCATATTGTACATCTAATCAATTCATGTATTGAGAAAGGCTACTTTCCCACTATGTGGAAACATGCCTTAGTTATTCCTATCCCTAAAATTAACAAACCAACCCAGCTTTCAGATTTACGACCAATAAGTTTATTGCCGGTGTTATCAAAAATCTTAGAAAAGATCGTTCAGATTCAAATAACTGCTTACATTGAAGAATGCAAAATCTTATCCACTAATCAGTCTGGTTTCAGAAAACACTATAGTACAACAGCTGCCTTATTAAATCTATGCGACAATGTGCTACGTGCGCTTGATAAAAAGATCACAGTAGCTTTGATATCGGTTGATTACTCTAAGGCATTTGATAGAATCAATCATATCCTTCTTCTAGCTAAATTGAAATATATTGGCTTTGATAATACCTCACTTAAATTTTTCTGTGCGTATTTAACCGACCGTGTTCAGGAAGTTTCTCTATCTAGACAGAGCTCTGTCCCAAGTGTCATACCATCTGGAGTGCCTCAGGGTTCTATCCTAGGTCCTCTCTTATTCCTCATCTACACCTTCGATCTATATGCAGTAATGGAAAATTCTGAAATGCAATCTTTTGCAGACGATACCCAAATAGTACATTATTTTAAAGCTAGTGAATTACCAACAGCCAATATAGAGCTACAACATGATATTGACATGGTTTGTAAATATTCAGCCGATCATAATTTATTAGTTAATCCTGAGAAGTCAAAAATCATAGTTTTCTGTTCTGATAATAAAAGAAACTACGTAAAAGGTAACCTTAATATCTTTATTGACAGAAATCTTCTTCAGGTTGGTACT